CAGGCCGCCTGCTGGTCCAGTCGCTCCTTCTCCTCGGCCACTTCGCTGTGGAGCCGCCGCCGAAGCTGCTGCAGGGCCCGCTGCTCCTGCTCCAGCTGCTGCTCGAAGCTGCAGACGGGCAGACTGGGGTGCGGCGGGGCGCACAGGCCGCTCGCTGCACCCGGCACCCCCTGCCCCTCCATCCCAGCTGCCCCCACGACAAAGGCAGCCCTGGTGGCACCTGTGCAGAGGCCCCATGTCCTGCCCTTGGCTTTCTGTGTCCCAGCGCCATCTTTAGCGTCCCTCCTGAGGGAGGCTTTGGGGTAAAGGATGCTGTTCAGATGCCTCACTCTGGGGTCCCGGCCTCACTCTGGGGTCCTGGCACACCCCAGCTCTGCTCGCATCTTGCCCACCCGCACCTCACGCGAGGCCCCCGAGCGGGGACACTGACCGCTGCTGGGCGCGCTCCCGCTCCTGCTGGCCCAGCGCCTCCTTCTCCCGCTGCAGCTGCTCCCGCAGCGCCTCCGCCTGGCGCCCGTAGCGCTGGGCCGCCCGCTCCTCCGCCTGCTGCAGCTCGGCCGCGTGCAGGGTCCTGAGCCTCTTCACCTCCTGCTTGTGCTTGGCGATCAGCTTCTGGATCTCGGGCTCTAGGCCTGGGGGTGGGACGCATGGTGGTGCCCGGATCCCCAACGTCTGCCCACTATGCCACAGGGGCCTTGCCCTCACCCCCAGTGCTGTAGGGGACCCCCAATTCTCACCCACTGTGACTCAGGGCTGCTGTCCAGCCAGGGGACTGCCCCCAGGCCACCCTGGGGACTCCAGCCAAAATACAGCTGAGTCCACCTGGGCCCATGGTGCTTCTCCCTGCCTGCAGCACTGTGAACCCCCTTCCTCCATCGCTCGGGCCAGTGGGGTCTCTCCCTGGTGGTACCCAGGCTCCCGAGAGGAGGGAGTCCCAGGGCAGGAGGGCCGGGCCCCATCGGCCCTTCGGCCACTCTCTAGCTAGGGAGAAGGGACAGTGCCGGGTGGCAGAAAACCCGGGACCCCCATCCTGAGCTCCCGCCCGACGTGCTCCCCTGGAAGCTGGAGGAGACAGGGGACCTGGGGAGGGAGCTGGCCCATCCCTCTCGGACCCAGCCAGATGGACACCTGGTCTGTCCACCTGCCGCAGCCAGGCCCGGGGGCTGCACCACCCGGCCACTGAAACTGCTGCCCTCAGAGACCCCACGGCTGCCTCGAGGCCCGGGGCGTGACGCCCACCTCTGACGGTGACCTCCTTGATCCTCCGCGTCTTCTCGTTGATCCACTTCTCCCTGCGGACCTTTTCGGTGGCGCTCATCAGCTCTTTGAGTTTCTTGATCTCCTGCCAGCGAGAAAACAGGCGGTTGACAGAGAAGCTGGGGGAAGTGGGGACGTGCTAAATGACAGCCGCCCCGGCCACCCCAGGGCTTTGGGGTGAGGGCTCTCCAGATGCCAGCAGCACACCTCGCCCTCCTGCACCGTCCCTTCGTCTCATTCACAAGCCCCGGGACCAACGCTCCGAGGCCTGCCGCAGGGACCGCCCCGTGCTGGGTGGCTAAGCAGGACGTCCTCCCACCGGCCCGAGGCCCCAGGTCTGCAGTGGCGACAGGACGGCAGGGAGGGAAAGCCACCGCCCAGTTCTCACCAGCCGGTGCTGGTCCTGCATCTCGGCCTCCCTCTCCTTGTGCCTCTGGTCCCCCTGCTTCAGCTCAGCCAGCACGGCCTGGCACTTCTCGCCCAGGGTCTTCTTGTCTTCGATCAGCTGCGAATGGTTGGGGAGGCGGGGGTGGGGGGTGAAGCTGCTGCACTGAGATGGGACTCTGTCCCGCGGGAAGACACCACCTCCCTTGCCCGGGGCCACCATGTTAGCTAGGGCCAGGGCCACCACTCCAAGCCCTTCTGTGCCCTCCTGCCTGGGGCCAGGAGGGCTGTGCACAGGTGGACGAGGGGCTCCAGCTGTCGTTGGCCCTCAACTCCTGCACCCAAGGGCCCGGCTGGTGCCAGAGAAGTCCTGGGGGGGTGGCTGGGGACGGTGGCCTTGGCTACAAGCGCCTCGCTGTGACCACGTCAGGATCTTCCTGGGAAGGGGGTTGCTCCACCATCCTCATCACCAGGCTAGTGGAGAAGGACCTGCCCATCGCCAGCCAAGGGGTCTCCGCAAATCCCCGAAAATGGCACCCACTGCGCTGAGGGCTCTGGGCAGAGCTCTAGTTTGGATGCACCTACGACTGCCAAGCGAAGTGTCCCTAACGGCCTCAGGAGGCCACTCGTCCCTCTGGGCTCCTGCTTCTCCTCACAGCGCCCACCCCAGCGTTTTCTTCAGAACAGGGCCTGGCAGGGCCGTGGCTGAGTGCAAGGCGGCCTGGAAGCTTCTGCAGCTCTCTCCTGGGGAGCCCAAGAACATGGATGGCCCCGGAAAGCATAGGAAAGGCTCCGGACATATGTCCCACTGGATACCTGGGTGACCCCACCCTCGGGTGCGCTGCACACCTGCTCCCGCCACATGCCCGCCCCGCTGGCCTGGGCGGCACGCTGTGAGGGGAGCACATGGCGTGCCCAAACCAGCCCGTCAAGACATGGACACCTCACCCCCACAGGGAAGACGCCGCCCGTTTCTATGGGTCCAGTCACCCCACTGGCACCCCACTTGCCAGGTGGTATCACCTGGTCAATGAAGGACAGGTGTCGCTGGATGGTGGCCTCGTAGTGCTCCCTCTGTTGCCGCAGCTGCCGACCCAGTTCCTTCTCCGTCTCTTTGACCCGCCGGACGGTGAGGTCCCGCTGCTGTGCCTGCACAGGTGTGGGATGGGGAAACGGAAGACGAGGCCCACTCAGGGGACAGGGCTGGCAGGCCACACTCCAGGGGTGACCTGGGACAGAGGTGGCATCGGGCAGTAGAAGG